TATCAGAACCAGGATCGTGATTAAATGTAAGGCAAGTAGGATTAAACATAAGGCAAACAGTGGTTTTTCAGGGAAACTGCACGTGCAGTTTGGGAATATAGTGTACCATTTCTGACATGCTCCAGAATGTGCCTTTTTAGTATGTACCCTGTTTCCCCGAAAATAAGACCTACCCCAAAAATAAGCCCTAGCAGGATTTATATGCATTTGTGGTATAAGCCCTTTCTCTTCTTGAGAAAAAAATAAATATAAGACAGTGTCTTATTTTTGGGGAAACACGGTAGTATGGAATGTTTCTAATATGCGTTCCTTTGTTGCAAACTCCCTAAACTAGCTAAAATGTACAGAAAAAGATATTGGGCAGCATACAGCATTCTAATATGTTATGATAAAACATTAATTGCCTGAATTCACTTTAGTGCAATACATGATACCTACAGAAAGAAACCCTGTTTTCTGTAACTTAGCGCGCCTTCATTCTGGCTTGTGTTTTAGAATTCTGCACCACAAACTAATCCCCACAACACCCCTGTGAGGTAGGGAAGGAGCATTCATATGGAAACAAACAGTACAGTGACCTGCCAAATACTCAAATCAAATTAGAATCACCACTAGGAGAAACGCTCCTGAGCAAACATGAACAACTGCACAACCTCCGGTAGTCTATGTCAATAAACCGAATGCTCACTTTTCATGAGATTAAATTTGTTCAAGGGTTCCAGAGCTGAATACTGTAAATTTCATCTGATGAAAAGGAGAAAATGAAGATTTATTTTCCATTAACCAAGTCAACCAGGGCATCAAAACAGTTGTCCTAGCTAACAAAAGCATCAAAATTGCAATAAGTTCAGGAAATGCATTTTAGCAGCAAATAATGAAACTGAAAATTCATTTTGGAAAGGAGAACTTAAAGTAAGCATCTTTACTAACAAACACTAACCAACTTTTGATACATAATTTTCACAATTCTTTGCTGAATTTACAGAATAAGCTTGTTCTCACATAGCTGATCAAATTATAGTACAGTGGCACAAACCATTTATCAGCAAAGAGGAAACTAAATCTTCAGCTTTCTCCTGAAACAAATAGAAAGCATTTACTTCTATCTCATTAAGCGCCCATTCATTCGTTTATTTTGCAACACCAATCTGCTATTTCCAACTAATAGAGAGTCGCATAGGAGAATCAACTATTAACACAACACTAAAGTCTTGAGTTCTGCTTGAATTAAAAAACATAAATAGTGCTTAAAAAGGGAACAAGTTATAGCATTTTAAACTGAATACAATGACGTTTATATATTTCATATAGATGGTAGGGTACAGTAGTTTACAAGATTCTTTCAGATGTTTATAATTATTACCACCTCAATTGATGTAAAACATCCATAGAATGGTCAAAACAGTATTTGGTTAACCAGCTGTGGTGTTGCAAATTTCATGTACACTCAAAGCATTTCTTATAAGCAAGAACTGCAGAACTAAACTAACCTCGGTCTGCGGTCACAATCCTTTGGTAAGGATGGACACGCATATCGTGCCTTCGAACTTTAGTAGCCACCGCACCTAGTTAAATTGCAATTACCAAGACAGTTAGAAAACATTTGCAAAAACATTAACAGCAGGTTTATCAAAATGGTTTTAAATTGATCACTTTCTAAAATTCATTTTAAGAAAGCAACTAGTTAAGGCACAGTAGTTTCAAATTTTAACCTTAATATATGGAGCATATTTTTGCAGATTAATATTGCATTTTTAAGCAACTGGGCCTTAACCTGCATTATCCATTCATTTACAAACTCAAGATTACAGTATTCCATGAAATCTATTAGACCCAAGCATATTTGAGCTTTACTAGTCACATATTCACTGAAGTGCCTTCCTTGTAGCAGGACTATTTTTAAATAATGACATTTTAATACTGATGATTCTTTGCTAATTTTAGAACAACTTCCAGTTTTTTACCATTTTTTTAAAAAAAGTTTTAAAGCAATTCCTCAAGCCTACAGACTGTGGTTTAAAAACTAAGTCAATAACTGTGAACTGCAATGAATTAGGTGATTAGTAAAGCAAATAGTACAGAATACATAGCAGTCAGTACACTACCATACACTCATAAATCACAGCTAGTTTATCATATATAGTACAGGCTACACCGAATTAATAGCATTTTAATTCTATGTGCAAAAAAAGTGCAAGTAAGTCACTGACTGCTAGGCTACAATTTTTCAAGGCTGCTGAAAACTAAGTATTTGTTAAAAGTCAGCTCTGATGAGAGTTCAGTTAAGACCGTTCTTGAATTCTTAGCCTTTCGTTGGGAAAGCCATACCTAAAGATAAAAGGAAGGGAATTGAAGATTAGTCAACTAAGATTTGATGCTAATGTAAATCTTCCAGTTATATCACATAGTTTTCATAGTCATCCTTCTGAGAAATTTAATTATCCTAATATTTTACCATAAAATCTGGTAAAATCATACATATTTGTTACATTCCAATCAAGTCAACATGACTGACTTCTAATGTTATGCCTTCAGATCTCTGATGTTTTAAGTTTCTGTAAAAACAGTCTGTTAGCACCATGTACACAGTTCTAATACAGCAGCTCCTCATGTACTGGACAGCTCTAGCATACATGTATGATTCTTCCAGACCTAAAGGGCTTCCCATTCACTTCCAGTGTTGGGATCAGTGCCACAGGCTCACTATCATTATGAACATGGCCCTGACACTGCCATTACAATGCATAAACCAAACTGGGAAAATACCTGAAAAATACCTTATTGGTATTTTTTCAGGTATTTCCCCAGTTTGGTTTTTTTCCAGGTATTATTTTTCAGGTATTCTTTTCTCAGGTATTATTTAAGCTGAATACAACTACAGGTATAGCTGAGCTCGAATAAAGCTGATTTTTTTCCTGGCTTTTATTCGAGTGTATCAGCTATACTACAAGCTTTGCACTGCCTCAGCTGGAGATGTCTGGCTCCTCTTGCACCCCGGTTTAAATCAAGGTGCAAGAGGAGTCAGACCGGGATTGGCCAAAGTGGCCACAGATGTCAGGTCCATGCTGCCCCAGCAGATCCTCTCTTGCAGCTCCAAGCTGCAGTTGTGTCGCTTGGAGGAGGCATTTAAAGGGACTGTGATCTATTTAAATGCCCTTTTCCCCTCCGTTGGTTTCAATGGATAATGGGGGCACCTTCTTTAGGGGCACACAGAATTGGACCCCCAGTCCAATCTTTTTGAGACTTCAGGGTTGTTGTTGTTTTTAGAAGAAGCACCAGCAGCTATGCTGCAAATTTGGTGCCTTTAACTCAAAAAGCAGCCCCTCCAGAGACCCAGAGACCCCTGGATTGACTCTCCATTATACCCTATGGCAGTGATGGCGAACCTTTTAGAGACCGAGTGCCCAAACTGCGACCCAAAACCCACTTATTTATCGCAAAGTGCCAACACGGCAATTTAATCTGAATACTGAGGTTTTACTTTAGAAAAAACAACTCATACATTAACTTAAGATGATCCAAACAAAGTAAGGAAAGCAATCCCAAATGCTTTCATTTACTTAAAATTATTTGGCAGAGAATTCGACACTTTAATGATGGTCTGGGCCTGGCTGGGGCGATGGCATGCATGCCCACAGAGAGGGCTCTGAGTGCTACCTCTGGCACCCGTGCCATAGGTTCGCCACCACTGCCCTATGGGGACCATTGACTATAATGGTCCCCACAGGGTATAATGGAGCCGGAAAAAATTGGGTTTCCCAAATATTTCCAGAATCCAAATACCGTACTGACACTGGAATTCAGGAATATCAGGAAATATCAATATTTTCCAGGTTCAATATACCCAAACATGAAAAATACCGATGTGGGTGTTGTTTTTTGGGGGGGCACACCCCTAATTACAACCAAGAAAGGAAAGCCTGTGCTGCTCAGCAGCAACACTGTATGCATGGTAGTCTGGGCTTATTATTCCAAATTTGACTGTTTAGGTGACTGCACCGATTATAATTAGTACTTCCAACACAACTCCATAAGTCATTTAAAATTATAATCTCTTGAGGACCCCCTCCCTCAGTTAGTTGATGTCAACATGGAACTTTTATTTCCGCACTGTAATACTATTTTTAAATGAATGGCCTGCAAGTTAAGACATTGTTTAACACATTACTGACAATAGTCTGAAGACATCAATTTTTATGGCTTTTACCAGTAGCCTGGGCCAAACCTCGAGTTAACAAGGGTGGGATATGCACTGCAGTAAGACAGACCAGCAAAAGTTTATGATTGGGATGCAGTGATGTAAACAGAGATGTTACTAGCACCTAAGTAACAGGTACCTCCTACACCACTAATATTCTTTCTCAATAGATTATCTGCATAGTGGAAGAAAGGACCAAAATGAGGGATTAAGTAACTGCAGCAAAAGGGACTGCAACAGTGGCTCAAAATCACATTGTAGTTAAAATTAATTTAAAATAGCGTGTTATAATGGATAACCTGCAGCAGTATTCTAAATAGACTCTACAAAAGTAGTGTAAAGTAATAAAAACAAAAATGAGTATTAAAGCTGGGGTTTTTTTCTGCACATGACCAAATGGTCATTTAGAAGATCTACTTTTGAGTAACTTTAACTACTGGAATTATGTTTCTTTCAAGTTATATCACTTTCTTTCCAATTGATTAGCATCCAGTGATAATAAAACTATGAACATGAAATGGGTAAAAATCAAGCACTATTAAGTCCCACTCATTTCAGAAGGACAGAGGCAAAGGATCTTAGACATGCTTAGTTTTGGCTTTTAATCACCGACCAACAGTTATATCTATATATCTAATTCCCAACATGCTCTCTCCATGCGAATATCTAAATCCGCACATCGGGGGCACTTGGCGGGGGGCAGGGAGATTTTCCTGCACATTTGGGGCAATACCCAGATGTGCAGAAAAATCTGAAAACTTGGGGAAAATATGCAGGGGATATTTAAATCCCCCCAAAAGTAAAAGAGCTCTGAGAATGGCTTTGCCACTGCCGCCAGGGAGGAAGAGGGGGCGGGAGAAGGCTTGGCTGGCCAGCGGCTGTAAGGTGCTCAGCCCTTGCCGCCGCTGGGGGGAAGGGGGAGTGGGAGAAAGCTTGGCGGGCTGGCCAGGCCTCGCCACCGGGGGGGGAGCGAGAAAGTTTGGCAGGCCGGCTAGGCCTCGCCGCCCCCAGGGGAGGGGGGGGGGAGGAAGCTGGGGAGG